TCCCATGCACACAGTGCCTGCAAGTTTCTAGCCTTCTGCAACATTTCTATCATTCCTTTACCTCTGAAATCGTCCAGCTGCCTTACCACCGTGCACCGCCGTCGCGCCTCGATCCTCTCTATTCCCCGCAGCATAACTGCAGCCGTTGACGGCAGCTGTCATCCCTCAAACCCCGGCAGCTCTCCCTCAAGAATTTCTCGCAACGGTTCAGGCCTTTGGTTCTTGCGTGTTCGTACTCACCACCCGGAGAGGCGGAGGGGGAGCAGCTGCTGCAACGGCAACCATATAAAGAGTAATCACTAAGGAAGCTGCTAAGAGTGTGGGTTTCGCCATTGTTATTTTTGTGATACATTGTACATACAGGGAGGACATATATATATATATATATAATTTGCATGAAGAAAGATCGTGGAGATTTTCTTTCATGCAGTGAATACATAATGATGAGATGCGGGGATTCTTCCGACAAGAGCTTGAGTTTTGGTTCCACGTAGTGTAAAAGCTTGCTTTTGCATCTTGGTGGTGTTAGTAAATATTAATGATTATAAAAATATATGTTAATAGGAATAAAATTTACTTACACCAGGTAAAATTAATAATTTTATATTAGTTTATAGCTATTAGATTTAAACGAAGTAAATAATTTAGATTTAATTAAAATTTATAATTTATAAAAATATCTTTTAACTCAGTAATCTCTTTTTATCTCAATTCCTTATTTTAAACCCTAAACCTATATCCTAAACCATATATCCTAAATCTTAAACTCAAATCCTAAATTATATCCTAAACTCTAAACCTTAAATCTTAAACTCTAAAAATATTATTTTAATGTGAATTAAAAAATATTTATTTATAAATTAATAAATTATAATTAAATATAAATTATTTATTTATTTAAAACTAATGGCTATAAATTAATGTGAGACTTAATAGTTTTACATAGTATAAGTGGATTCTACCTCATATTAATATTAAAAAATTTATGAATAATAAAGATTAATTAAAACAATATAAAATTTAAAAATAATTTCATTAAATTATTTTTAAATAAAGATTAAATTAATATAGCATATATTTTGAAAATTAAAATTATTATTATTATATTAAATTAAGTTATTATATTTATTAAAATTTAACACATGATTAAAATAAAATATAAAATTAATGATTAAAAAATAAAAAAAATAATTTGGTGATTAAAACATAAATATGATAATATTTGGTGACCAAATGGTATTGTTTATCCAGTATAAAAATAGAGGAACTCGCTCACATCCTTTCGCCACGTGTATGTCAGTAAAATAATACATATGTCAGGCAATGAAGCAACTTTGAATGGCAAGGGGCACTCAATCATTACTCTCTTCTTTTCTTTCAATTCCTTCACCCATTTACTGAGTCTGCTCAGAAACTCAGCGCGTCTCTTGAGTTATTACATTCAACACAGTTAGATCTGTTCTCTCTACTACCGAACTCCTTACCTGTATTTGTTTTTCTTCTTCATGGTAATCTCGGTACTCTTTTTTTTAAAGAAAGATTGGATTTTTTATCAGACAGAGTACGTCGTTCTTGCTGTTTCTGTCTTTCTGATGATTTCCTTTCCATTTTTATGAATTTTGTTGTTGTTCCAATCATCTGTTTGAAGATTTTCAAGTTTTCGCAGAGTAATTCAACTGACTCGGTGAGAGAAAAATCCCATCTCTCGAACTTCAAAGGGCTCAAAGCTTCAGGATATTAGGGTTTGAAAAGGCTGTGTATCATTCAACAAACAGTCGGAAGAAATTTGAGCAGCCCAAAATAATTTAGAAATTTGGATCTTTCAGGAATATAATACAATTATGGGCAGGGGTATGGTCGAGGGTGTGTAAGGGTATGGTCGAGGGTGTGTAAGGTGTGCCACCGCGCAGGCCCCAAAAAATAGGTGCTTCGTCTATCAGTCGTTACATTAATAAGCATAAAAATAAAGATTCTGAAATCGAGTATATTTATCAATTGTTATCAATTGTTATCATTAAGAAACATAAAAATAAAGATTTCAAAATCGAATATATCTATCAGTTTTTACTATTAAAAAATATAAAAATAAGAGATCCGAAATCAAACATATCCAAAAAAAAAATAAGATCCTTTTATAAGAATTTGGACCGTATCCCCGACAACCTGGCGACGGCCTGTCTATGGGTGCAATATATATACACATTATATAAAATATTATGGGTCTGCGAGTTCTGAGATTTCACGTGAAGTTTACGCTGAGTTGTTCGTGAGTATTGCGAGTAACGAATTCGAGACAAGATGCCTCAGAATAAAAACCTACTTCGCCATTGCAAGCCGCTCCCCTTCCTCGTTCACCATAAATGCCAACGTCACTTCACTGAGTCAATGAGTTTCTTGTGCGCGGAAACAATGACAGATCTGAAGTTGGGGCTGTGAAAGCAATTCAAATCGATTCGGATCAGGGGTCTACATTGTTTTAAATACGATGATTTGAAAAGGGTATTTTGTTTTGAAGATCACAGAAAAATGGAACCTTTTGTTTCAAGGTACTGCTTTCTTTCCTTCTTTATCTTCACCATTTCCTCTCTCTTATTCCACTCGTTAGATCAGGTGATGCAGAGACACTTTTAGCACTGAAATCATCCGTTGATCCTTTCAACTCATTGCCATGGAAAGGAACCAATGTTTGTGCATGGAAAGGAATCAAGGAGTGCTTGAATGGGAGAGTTACAAAACTTCTTTTATAACACTTGAACTTGTCTGGTTCTTTAGATGGACAGAGCTTGAACTGGTTAGATCAACTTCGGGTCCTGAGTTTCAAAAGCAACTCCATTTCCGGCCAAATCCCCGACCTTTCCGGCCTAGGCAATCTGAAAGTACTTTTTCTCAATGAAAACAATTTCACCGGCGAATTTCCAGAATCAATTACAAGCTTACGTCGGTTGAAAACTATTGTTTTGTCGGGAAATCGAATCACCGGTCAAATTCCTGCTTCTTTACTCAAACTCAAACGATTGTACAAGCTTTACTTAGAAGACAATGAACTCAAAGGTACGATTCCGGCTTTGAACCAAACCGGTCTTAGATTCTTCAATGTTTCGAACAACCAACTTCATGGTCAAATCCCTGTGACCCCAGCTCTGGTTCGGTTCAACATTTCTTCGTTTCGGGTAATATTGATCTTTGCGGCGAACAGATTGAAAACCTATGCCGGGTGATCGATTTCGGGCCGGCGATGAGCCCGGTTCACCCTACATCGAAAAAGTATTCCAGGTTGATCAAGATTATAATAGGAAGCTGCTTATTTCGGGTATGTCGGTGACACTGTCTCGATTTTCATTTATTTGATTATTTCGGTTATGGTTTTGTGTTTGAATTTGTGAGTCGAATCGAATTTAATAAGAAATACGAGTTTAACTCAAAGTTTTAAACTCAGTTAAAGTTCATTAGGGAATTCATTAATATAGAAATCTGATATATAATATTTCTCTACCAATCATAATCGTAAAGATTTAGGTAAACAACGACAATTCAGGGTGAGTTGTGTAACAAAGCTGAGTTTCTATAAAGATGAGCTGCTATAATACGACAACTCACTGAGTCTGACCAATACGGCATGTTATTGTTGTCAGTTGCTCCACTCTAACATTATTTGCATTCGAACGAGTATCGGATAGGTATGTGTTGTTGACGTTTTACACTTAAAGAACTATATTTCGTACTCATGTTCTAATATGTTTCGGTACGTTCCGGTAACATAGATAGCGTGATAAAAGAAGAAGAAAGTTAATCGAGATTTGGTTCCGAAAATATCGAAGCTTATCCGTGCTTCGGTTCAAAAAGTTTGAGATTCGAGTTTTAACATTGCAATCGTCTGGTTTTAACCTATTTTCTTTTGGATTTCCTTGTAGGAACGAGAACTTGTGGTGGTGGAAAGCCTCTTCATTGGACATCATGTCTGAATATAGCCGAGGACTTGGCTACCGGATTGCTTTATATTCACCAAAATCCGGGCTTAACTCACGGTAATTTGAAATCCTCAAATGTATTATTAGGTCCTGATTTCGAATCTTGCCTCACAGATTATGGTCTCACCGTATTCCGAGTTCCGGACTTGTTGGAAGAACCTGGTGCTGCTACATCCGGAAATCGTCAACTCAACCGGCTGATGTTTACAGCTTCGGTGTTCTTCTCCTGGAGCTTTTAACAGGCAAAACTCCTTTCCATGACCTTGTTCAAGAACACGTTCTGATATTCCTACTTGGGTAAGATCAGTTCAAGAAGAAGAGACTGAGTCCGGTGACGAGCCCAGCTCCGGTAATGAAGCATCTGAAGGGAAGCTTCAAGCTCTCTTGAACATAGCAATGGCTTGTGATGCGGTTGCACCGGATAACCGGCCTGCGATGAGGGAGGTTTTGAAGATGATAAGATATGTGAGGGCAGCACCTCATGTATCGTCAAATAGTAGCGATCATTCACCGGGACGATGGTCGGACACCGTGCAGAGCTTGCCCAGAGAAGAACATCTAAGCGTATAAAAATACCAGTTGTAGCTTGACTTGGCGGGGCATTGAATTTAGGTGTGCTAATTCTTTTCCCATTCAAACTTTTCATTCTTCCACTTTAGAATTGTATTGTAAAGATACATAATATTATCAGATTCATCTTTTGAAAAAAAAAAACAAATTAAAAAACTATATATTAGGGTTGAATTCTCCCAACTAGATTTTATCCAAAAAGGTAAGAAAATTACAAGGAAACTAAAAAACTAACGGTTAATGCATTCTAACTCGGTGAAATTGATCTGATCAAAACAATTGAATTGGTCCAAAAAAACAGAAACAATCAGATAAAAAACCTATAAGAAATAATAAATCAAGCACCAAATAAGGTTAGCAAGTTACAGATTATACACATGAAAGCTTCAATGCAAAATTCAACTGGATATTTTGATGATTTTTTTCTCTACCTGGAGACATAGCATGATAAACAGTTCATCATTCTTATTATCTGGTGCTAGGGTTTACTTGATGGTGGTTAATATTTCAGGTTCCAAAATTGGGATTTCTACAAGTTCTTCCATGGTGGCACTCAACTTGTGAATTGAGTGTGTCTACACAGAGATTAAGAATAGTATCCTACCGGTTTCTTATGAATTTACATGAGAATTTTTTCCCGTAGCTTACACATTACCAGATACATCGGACCTTGAGCTCAATGATTCCCGATCAGCACCTTGGCTCCTGCTTGAGATTGATTCCGCTTGGTGAGCCGAAAATCGTCATCTGGATACAAAAGGCATAACAAGATTGAAGGTTACACAGGTGTAGACAAATATGCTCGAATACCTTGTGGGACAACTAGTTTCCCATTTTTTTTGATAGGAGACAACTAGTTTCCCATTATTGCCCGCAAGGTGTGAAATTTAATCTCTAGTCATGCTGTCCACCTTTGTCCTACTGTGCCATGAGCAACGGAATCCACATACAGTTAAGTACTCGGTTTCTGTGACCTGACCACACTAAGATGACTACATATGCCAGTTTCCAGGTCATCATTGCGGTGATAGAAGCATATCGGAGCCAATAAGCCGTTTAGCTGTATGTGAATTCCGTAAAGTTAACAACAGATCCCATAAAGTGAAGATGTTTAGCTCACGCTAAATTATGTGTTCCCACCTCTCCGGCCATCCACCTCAGCACATGCAAAACTGACTAGATTTAAATGAAAACCTACCTGAGTTGCACCACGCAACATGCTATTAGCTAAATTCTCATTAACAGAGACAGCAACATCAGCATGTGGCTCATTAAACCCGGCATGTCCTCATGCTGCACAAAATCACAGTAGAAATCAATAACCTGATAAAAGGCAACACTAAACCCAAATAATAATGAAAATGCTTGCCACAGGGCATTAATACAATCAATAATCATAAAGAACATCCACATACTCGTTTAGCATGGTGGTAATATTGTTCTTTGCGTGAACAAAGAGATTGATGTTATCCTGCAACTGTTCATAAAAGCTTTACTTAATAAGCCATCTCATAATAATGTTACAAGACTCGTATATGATATGGGCAATCACATATAAGATTTACATGAGCATAATAAAAGAACAATAACAACTTGAGCTCTATGATGTCCTCCTTCCAGACGCAAGAGATCCATTGACGACAACGGGTTAAGGTTGCTATTAAGTCAAAGAGAACTGAATAAGTAAAACTAGAAAACATATGGGCTTGCCTGTTGCTATGTTCTTTATAATCCTAATCAGGAACCCGGGCTGTAATGAAGCTAAAACTTCGATATTCTGATTTTTTCCCGAGTTTCATCAGTGATGCATATTTCTAAAATTATCACTCTAATGCCTTCATTGTTCATAATTAAACCAACAATCATCACATTAGTTAACCAATAAAATTTAAGGCAAATACGAATATAACTTGCAGATTAATCATTAAAAAGTAGCACAACAAAGGACAAGGTATTAATATCATCTAACACCTTTTATTTACTGTCTGATTGCATATGACAATCAACCAATGCTATGAATTAGGCATGATACACTCACCTTATATGCAGAAAGATTGGATGTGATTTGACCAAAAACTTGAGAATTTTGCTTCAAAAGATGCATAGTTGTACCAAAGATTCCTGAAAAGACAACACACAGAAGTATATTTAAGTAAATCAATTGCCTTTAGCCGCAAGCCATCATGCAAGATATTCACAATATCCAAATGCAAATGCTACCATTTATAGCACAAGCAAGCCAAATTTGCAGATTTTACATTAAAATTTCAAGGAGTATTTACACCTCGTGTTGAGCCCAATTCATAAGAAATTTACTTTAACGATACAATAACTGATAACCATCGGTAGTACTTCCAAGACTTTTCCCAATTTCCTTTTTCAAGGTTCCATTTTCTCCTATCAAAGGAGAAAGATGCACCCTATAACTTGTTCGTATCCAATTATCAGTAAAATTCAAATGCATTTACATTCTCAACAATTATGTAGCAAAGTTGAGAAAACTCAACCATCAGAAAAAGATGTATATATGAAAATATTTCTTATGAACAAACTTTTCTCTTTATATATAAGCGCCACCTCCCACGGTGTTAGGTTTTCATTATTTCACAGATATTCACTAGCTTTGTGTTCACTGTTCAGCAACTTGACTGATGCAAATTGCTAGATCCATTCTTACACTACTTGAGATCATAAAATGGGAGATGTGGACAAAAACTGATAAAAAGGATATTAATTAAAAGCAATTACAACTGAAAGAAAGATATCGGTACTTGTAGGTGGTAATATAAATTACATACATACCTTCAGAAGGCATTCTTTCATTCTGGTCAAGATGATGCGTCATGAGAGAATAAGCACTCATGCTTTGCGGCATGGATGAAGGAATATTCATCTTTGAGGATGACTCCACCAGCTTATCCTTTCAACAAAAAATAGTGAAAAAACTATAAATCCTTTCAGCAAAAATTATAAAGCATCACAGATAGAGCAGTGAGAGAATCAGTAGGCTCATCGAATTAGTGAAAAAGCTTGAATAGAGAGATTCATATTACAACATATGAGTTCTTGTTATATAATAATCTCAATCATCTTACCAGGAACAGACCCGAGACATAAATAGTAGAGCAGGAAATGTTCATAAAACAGAAACTTCATAATGGACAAAGCGATTATTATTGTTTATATTGATGATAAACCCATTTTATACAAAGAAAATCTCAATTCATGGATCATATACTTCAATTCTCAAGAAATTTAACAAAAATAGTTGAGCAGGAAATGTTCAGAAAACAGAAACTTCACAATGGACAAAGCGATTGCTAATGTTTATATTGATGATAAAACCATTTTTTTTTATAGAAATGATAAAACCATTTTATACAAAGAAAATCTCAATTCATGGATCATATACCTCAATTCTCAAGAATTTTAACAAAAATGATTAAAATGATTTAGGTGGGACAGGAGCTGAGACAATAGGCGTCGCAAAATTTTAAAATATTTGCAAGCATACCTTCCTATTGTTCACTTTTTCCCCCACATTAAGTTCTTCAGGTTTCCTTCGCTTTCTCTGCCAATTTCCAAAAATTCTCTCTTAGAACAAATGAATCTACATATAATTTTAAATATGCAAATATGGCATCTGATAGAAAAAGAATAAAAGCACATTAACAAATTCATGGTGTTTCATAGGTTCCAGTCAATTAAACATAAAATTGACAGAAATTAACTCACATGATGGTAGTAATGGATCATTAAAGAAGCAGGGAGCTTACTTGCATCCACCTACACCTCAATGCAACATCACGAACAGTTTTACCAGGCAATGAAGCCGCAATCTTTATGTACTTCAGAATATTTGGTTCCTTTTTATATCTACATACATGTACATTAAAGATGAAAATCAGAACTGAATCTTCATTCCATAAACATGACATACCTAATAAGTACCTTCTAAATACATCTCTATAACATAAATAGAGATCCATCACTTAATATTAATCATGGACAATTCGACTACATCAGTTATACTAGTAACATAGAAATCCAACACTTGCACATACAGTAAGAAAACGATTAGGTCTCCGCAATTGAGAAGAATTAATCAGGACATACCTTTCAAGCCCGTCTTTCAATATGTACAGTTCATCAACAGACCATTCAATAGTTACGCTTTTATCCTGCTTGAGTCCGGTAGCCGAGTCAAGCAGTGGAGAAGAGCCAGAAGAGTTCCCGGCTTCGATTAAGTCAGGGGAGGCAGTAAGAATACCGGAATTTCTAGTGAAATTCATGGCCGGAGCAAAGTAACCACTCATCGGAATCATCTCAGAACTACTGTTGCTTGCAGCTGATTGGAAAGATATAGCTTGTTGATTCATCATGGAACCTAAATTATTCAGAATTGTCGAAAACCCACTTTTGTAAAACCCAAACCAAATTCAAAATGTGAAGCTAACTTCTGCTCAATATCTTAAACTGACAACTTTCATACATTTTTTGTTTTCATTTCAAATATCAAAAAAGAAAAGAATGTCATAGCAATCTGGGAAAACAAACTCAAACCAAAATCATATCCTAAAATAAAAAAAAATCCCATCAAATTGAGTTGAACAAAAAAGAATCTGAGTAAAACAACCGACTCAGCTGAAAAGAGAAAGGTGGAGATGGAGGAGGGAAGTTACCTTTCTGTGGGCAGCTTTCCGACAAACCGCCAATCGGTTATTCCTTTTAATTTCCCACTAAAAACTAAAACTTCCCAACTGCTACAATCGCTGTTTTACTCTCTTTTTTATTACTTTTTTGCTGATTACTTGTGTTTATTTATTGATTTTTGAGGTGTGGGGTTCTTTGCTTTTGTTTGGAACTTTGTTTAATCTCTCCCTTCTTCTTCCGGAGAAACTAAAAAAATGAGCTTTAAAACTCAGCCAATGGGAAGCGAAGCAAAGCAAAGGCAAAAGTATCAAGGAAAGGGGATTTTCTTTTGTAGTGAAATTTATTTATTTATTTATTAGTAGTGAATATAATTGATGCCTGCAGATCTTTGGAATTCATGCGAATCCCTGTGGACATTTAATGCAGTTATTGTGGACTTTCCACATATTTAAGCTTTAACTGGCTCCTTTCATTTTATCCCCCCACGAGGTTTTCTGCTTTCCTTTTTTCAAAGGTTTAATCTTTGGAATTTTTACTTAAACATCACTTAAAAGCTTAATTCTGGAATTAATATTCATGATTATTAGTAATCTATCGTCTCAAAAATTAAACTTCTTCATTCACATTCTATTCAATCTGTGTTTAAATTTTTTTGTCCTATTTAAAATTTAATTTAATTTTTTAAGATAAAAATTCACATATAATTTTACTCAAATACATATATTTATAATATATAGAGATGAATATTATTATAATTATCTCTAAATATATAATAGGGTAAAGCATATAAATGATCTTTTAATTATATGTACTATTTTATTATGTTCGTCGACTATTAAAAGTTACATGATAGTAATTTAATTAAAGAGTATTGTTTTGTTGAGTCATTTGGCTTTTAAAAGCTACAAAAAAATGATCACTCGACTATTCATTATGTTCTAAACGCATCCCTTTTCGTTAAAAGTTTAACGATATTCTGAACTAAATGTTAACATATTGAATACGATATGATAAAATTTGATCTTATATCTCAAACGACTATCATATCAAATATTATATTAACATCAAGCTCAGACGACCAATAATTTCTTAACAAAAAATGACGAGTTTGAAACATAGTGAATAGTCAGATAACCATTTGTAACAGTTAATAATCAAGAGACTAAACAAAGTAACACTCTATAGTCATATGATCATTTTATAATTTTCAATAGTCGATAGACTTAATAAAGTAATACCTTATAATCATGGGTCATTTGTGTGATTTACCCATTATAATATTATCTCGAATCGAATCAGTTTTTTACCTAAAACTCAACCAAATTTATTTAAAAAACTTCACTCAAACCCGAAATTAAAAGAGTTAATCCAGTCAAATTGAAAAAACATCGAATTCAAGTCAAGTATCCATCCACTAGGTGGATTAGGAATCTCCTTGACCCCATAAGCCCAATTCAATATGGACTCAGATGTGAGCCCAAAGTATTAAGGCACAGATAGAGACTTATGGCCCGAAAACAAATGAAATTTCAAATCCACCAAACATAAGATGTCCTTTCTTTTATAATTTAATTCAACAGCGACAAGGATTTGCTTTCTAAGATTTTCATTTCTGGATCCGAGATAGAGACCACGGGATTTTGCAGTGTCGAGATTTTCATATTTTTGTTTGTTTTAATTTATGGAGATTATGATTTCTGACTAGTAAGTTTCATTCTTAGGACATTACGGTTGTTCTGATTGGTTGCCTTTTCACTTGTCGCCTCCACACCATATTAACTGACAACTATGTTTCTCATGTTTCTTTAATCACCATTTACCCATGTCCGACACATACTTGGAGATGGGCACGAGAATATGATCCTCTGAATACATTTAAAAGCTTTTAGATGATTGAACATATATGTGCCGGATGCATGTTCTATCCGACACATACTCAAGTTCGATTTGACAAGATATTTTGAATATGTAAATTTCCATGAAAAAACATACGTTTCTTAGCAAGCTTTGGTTGGGATTTTGAGTTCAAAATTTGTTCTCTAATATAAATGTATCTTTGTTGTCTTCGTATCTAACATTGAATTTGCTCTCTCTGTGTGCCTGTTATATAATTTCACCAGTAATAAAAAGGGTAAATAGGTTTATTGCTCAAAACCAATAAAATAAAAGGTTATAATAAGGTTCAAGGGCTCACTTTAGTGACTTAAATTGTAAATCATAAGCTCTCTCTTCACACACACACACACACGCATATCTATTTATTTTGCTGTCTCTATTTCCTTTGCAGAACAGCTCTTGTAGAAGCATATAATGCAGACAATAGCTTTGCCGATGCTTTAGAAGCATTTGGTTGCGGACATGATGATCCTATGAGTGCTTCCATAGGAGGTAGCGAGTATCTCTTTTTATTCATTATGTTCCATGCAAGAGATTATCCTGTTGGTCCGTTAAATTACTAATGAGGGTTAAGCTTTTAGTTTCCGTTCCTCTTACTAAACTGCTGCTTAGGCCCAAGTATTTAGCTTCTTCTTCAGTTTAGGGTTGTGAATATAAGTCTTAGTGTCGCAACCGTCTTTCGGTTGGGCTCCAGAATTGGGCTTCGACTTAGGAAAATGGATTGGAGTCGCCACCGATCATTTATTTAAAAATAAATGGGTTGATCGGATACCTTATTTCTTACCTGATCTGCGTCTTTCCAGAAATATGTCGGGCTCGGGAGTCGGTTACGGTCAAGGAAGGATTAGCACCCTTGAACCGCCCTTTCGGTACTACGTAATTTTCAGTTGTCTTAATTAAGAAAATTGTAATTTTAAATTAAAAGGTAAAAATAACGATCCAAAACTTACCTATGTTCGATTGATACCCTTAAAGAGTTGAGAAACATGTTAGATATAAAAATAATAATAATAAATAAATAAATAAATTCAACCAAAATAAAAAGAAATAAAATAAAATAATAAATAAATAAATAAAACATAGAAAAATGATAGTAAATAATAGTATAAATATAAAAAAAAATGTAATATATATAAATAAATAAATAAAATACACATAAAGAAAATGAAGCAATAAATATATATATATATAATGATAAAAGGTAATATACGTAAAAGATGTTAGAATGAAACACTAAAATACATATATGTAGTTATATGTACATAATATATATACGAATAAAAAGAAGAGGAGGAAACAAATAATAATATATAAAATATATATAGATATAATTGTTAGTGAAAGTAATAACAAATAAAATATAGTATAATAGGTAAAAATTGCGAAATCAAGAAAATGAATTAAAACATGAAGGGATTAAATTGGAACAAAAAAATCAGGGGTCAAATTTCGAAGTAATCGGGGGAATATTAAATACTAAAAAAAATGAATATGCCTCGGGAGTAGATCTAGGTTCGAAACTTCGAAACCTCACCCCTTTTTGGTCATCAGCGCAACCCACGTTTTAGGTTATTCGAACTAAATCTCAAGAAAAATAACGTGCACATGAAAAAAAAATGCTACATTTATTTCTTTTTCGAATCGTTTACAATAGCTTTGCCTTTGTATTTTCCGTGCTTTCCTCTGTGTTTTGTGTGTAAATCCTGTCCTACAATAGTGAGTTACAATGGCTATTTATAGTGCTTGTGGATCCTATCTTTAGGAGTTTAAATAATAGTAGAACTCTATCCTATTTTTAGGAGTTTGAATCCTAGCAAAATTCTATCCTATTTTTAGGAGTTTGAATCCTAGTAGGAAGAAAATGTGTGTTGACAGCTGCCCCTCTTTGCCCATAGTCGTGTAACGGGGATAGGGCAAAGATTAAAAGGCACACTTTTCGTTCAGTGGAGTTGAAAATTAACTCTGATGTTTCAATAACTCCCTGTCGAATTGAGTTACGGATGACTCATCCGTCGTGAAGTCGAGTTCATCTTGAAATGATATGAAATTGAAGTCGTAGTTCGAAATTTGAATCAGCACGTGGCTTCTCGTTGCCCTTCGGTTTTCTTCTCGGTTTAAAGACCTTGGATCGGAATCGAACTCAGAAATCTTCATTGACAGATAGCTTTTTCTTGACTTAAGCTATGCTGCTTGAAAATGGTTGCTTGTTACTAAGGCACGGTTAACCCATGTCCTCTTCTTGACTTGAAAACCTCGACTGCAACCGAAAAGTAGTGCAATTGATGTGTCATCGAACTGAATGGAATCGAACTCGACAATTTTGATGACAGATAACTCTTCTAGCCTTGAGTTATGCTGTAAACGATGTACCTTGGAGCTGAGCGTAGTCGAACTCGACGGTCTTTGCTGACAGATAGCCCTTCTAGCCTTGAGCTATGCTGTAAATGATGCGCCTTGGAGCTGAGTGTAATCGAACTCGAAGGTCTTTGTTGATAGATACTTCTTCTTTGAGTTGGATATCATTCGTCGTGAAGTTGAAATCCTATCTAAAGATGGATGCTGCTTGTGTGCACGATTCCCTTCGTCGTGAAGTTGAAACCGCGGGTAGCCCCTTCGTCGTGAAGTTGAGCCTGAAATTGGATATCCTTCGTCGTGAAGTTGAAATCCAAGTAAGTTGTACTGTTCCGAGTCCAATATCCTCCGCCGTGAAGTTGAAATTGGTTCTGGAACTGAGAAATTGTTTGTTGACAGTCAGCCGCCCCTTTGCTGTGAAGTTGAGCTTGTGCTATCTTGAGTCCAATATCCTTCGCTGTGAAGTTGAAATTGACTCTGAAATTGGGAAATTATTTGTTGACAACCAGCCGCCCCTTCGTTGTGAAGTTGAACTTGTGTTGTCTGGAGTCTAATATCCTTCGTTGTGAAGTTGAAATTGGCTCTGAAATTGAGAAGTTGTTTGTTGACAACCAGCGGTCCCTTCGTCGTGAAGTTGAACTTGCGTTGTCTGGAGTCCAATATCCTTCGCTGTGAAGTTGAAATTGGCTCCGAAATTGGGAAATTGTTTGTTGACAACCAGCGGTCCCTTCGTCGTGAAGTTGAACTTGCGTTGTCTGGAGTCCAATATCTTTCGATGTGAAGTTGAAATTGGCTCTGAAATTGGGAAGTTGTTTGTTGACAACCAGCGGTCCCTTCGTCGTGAAGTTGAACTTGCGTTGTCTCGAGTCCAATATCCTTCGCTGTGAAGTTGAAATTGGCTCTGAAATTGGGAAGTTGTTTGTTGACAACCAGCGGTCCCTTCGTCGTGAAGTTGAACTTGCGTTGTCTCGAGTCCAATATCCTTCGCTGTGAAGTTGAAATTGGCTCTGAAATTGGGAAGTTGTTTGTTGACAACCAGCGGTCCCTTCGTCGTGAAGTTGAACTTG